TTCCCCAGGTGTCCCCACGACTCCTGGCTCCCCTGCTGCAGGTCTTTACAGTCATATCACCTCCTCGGGAGCCACAGGTCCTGGGTCTCTGACAGCACAATCCCTCTGACCCACCTTGAGTGTCACTTGTCATCTGTCCCTCTAGAACACTGACTCCAGTGCTGGACAAGGACTCCAGCGACCACAGCAGGTGATGGACTAGACTCTACAGCAAGGGATGGGAGCTCTCTCTGCTTGGGATGGAGGTCGCAGACCAAGGACACAGCAGCTGAGGTCTCAGTCTGGGCTGACCAGACGGCACCCTGGAGGACTCAACTGCCCCATCTCCATGGGGGCCCGGAAGCTCACCACCAAGACCACCTCCCTTTCCTCCAGCATCCTCGGTCCCCAGAAGACAGAATCCTGGAGTCCTGGGAACCCCAGGCCAGCATGTGACCTAAAAGGCCAGTGGTCCCGCTGCTCCTCCCTGCCACTCTGCTCACAAGCCCCCAGTGATGTGGGCCCTGGCTCAGGGGCCAGGAAGTGCAAGTGGACCCCCCCCAACCCCCTGCTGGTGTGCTGCTCCCCAGCCCATGGCTGCTGGCCTTGTGGCAAGGTGGGTGACTGCTCCCCTCACTTCCTGGCTGGCCCAGGTGAGGAGCTGCTAGCAGGGCCCAGAGCCCATCTGCATCCCTGAATGTGGAGTGAGAGACGCACTTGCTGATGCGTCCACAGCTCCCAGAGTCTCAGGGCAATTTCACCAGGCAGAAAGGACAGGAGGTGGCTCCCTTTGACAGCCGAGAAAGAGGACTCTTTTTTTTTAATTAAAATTTATTTATTTATTTTTAGCTGTAAATGGACCACAGACCTGTATTTTATTTATTTACTTCCTATTAGCTGGTGCTGAGGATGGGGCCCAGGGTTGGGCAAGCGCTCTACCACCACCCCAGCCCCAGTCCGAGGCTAATGAGGCCCCTGGAAGGCAGAGCCTGGCTGTCCAGCGGGGAGACCACCCCAGCCTTGCTGATCAGACTTGGGCCTCCTGACAGAGCTCCGAGGCCTCCCCAGACCTTGTGAGATGAACTCATGGGCCCCCATGTGGCGACAGTCCTTGGGAGGTGGGGACAGCAGGAGGGTCAAAACTCAGGGGTGGGTTGTGGTGAGAGAGCCCCCTGGGGCAGCCTCAGTTCCTCAGTCACAGGGGCTCAGGAGGGGGACACCACCTTCACAGGGCCTCTCAGGAGATGGAGCAGCAAGACCCCCACCCCTGCACCCCACTGTGGGGAAGGATTATCAGGAGCCCCAAGAAGGCAGCGGAACACAGGCGGGCAGCCTCTCCCCCGAGGGCTTGGGAAGACTGGGATTCTGGAACTCTCTGGGGAGACCTCGGAAGCTCCGACCTTGCAGCTGCAGTTGGCTGCACAGTAGGGGGCGGGTGGCTGCCCCCAGCCTGTGCCCTCTCGGAGACTCTCAGCTGACCAGTCGTGGGGGTGGCACTTCTCTGCCAAATGGAAGGCATCACAGCTCAGAGAGGGCAAGAGACTTGCCCAGGGGCACCCAGCGAGGGCCTGTGACACAGTATCTGTGAGTGGATGAGGAGATGTGCTGGTCCAGGCCCCCTGAGCCCACCATGCCCTGGGTTGATCTTCCTCAGCAAGCAGAGAGCCTGCAGGAGGGGCGGGGCCTCTGCACCTGGGGTGGACACCGGCTTGGGCAGCCTCCCCCTCCCAGGTCCTGGTTGGGGTGGAGGTGAGCCCAAGCGGCCCCCACTGGCTGCCAGCCTCCTGCAGCTGCAGTGGGCCAGGCAGCTGCTCTCAGAGGTTGGCAAAGGCCCCTCTGGGGCTCAGGGATCTGCCGCTGTGTGGGCGCCCCCAGCCTGGAGCCCAGCCGGTGGCGAGTCAGAGCAGGCCCACCCATCTGGGAAAGGGCCCAGATCTGTGCCCCAGGAGCCCCAGGCCCCACCCCCAGCTCTGCTTTCCTCCTTCCACCCCCAGCCCCTGGCCCATTCCACCCACCAGCTCCTCAGCACCCACTAAACCCAGGCTGGGCTTCGTCCGGGGCTCTGCCTTCTCTGAGCCTCAGTTTCCCAACTTGCAGCAATGCAGATGAATGAAAGCCACCAGGCCGTGCTGCCAGACTCAGACCCCACGAAGATCAAGGGGCCTTGGAGAGAATCAAAAGGCGGGGAGGGGCACAGAGAGGTCATGTGCCTCACCTGAGGTCACTCAGCACAGTCAAGATTTAAGCTCCAACAATATGGCTCCAAAAGGCAGATAAGCACACCCTTGAGCAAAGTGTCACCCCTCCCAGCCTCAGTTTCCCAGGGAGGTCCCAATGTCAATTCCAAAACAGGCTTGGCTCGGTGGATAAGAAGTGGCTGTCAGGCAGTTTGCAGGCAGGGCCTCCCTACTACCCCCACCACACACACACACAATGAGCCTCCCTTTCAGTGCCTATAAAATTGGGGGATCCTGACCTGCCAAGAAGAACTGGGCAACAGAGACAGCAGACTCTCAGGTGCTGGTGTGGAGAGTCAGCAAGCTGCAGCCACAGCCCCTTGGCCTTGCCTGACCCAAGGGCCTGAGACTGGACGAGCAGGCTACAGACTAAGAGAGCCTAGACCCAGACACCATGGGGGGCGGACACAGAGGTCGTGGGAAGGGGCCTCAGGGAAGGTCCCTGTGGATACACCTGGGCGGTCCCGCCTCCTGGGGGACAGGAGGAGATGGCATCAGGACTGGCCCCTCCCTCCCTCAGCCAGACGGCCACCCCGCCTGCCTGCTGTCCTCACCAGCAGGGACAGAGCTGCCCGTGGCCCCTGGGGAGTAACCTCCCTCAGACTCCACAGAGACGAGGAACCTGCTGTACGGGGACACCTGAGCCGCTGACCAGGCCCCAGGGGGGTGCACGTGGGGGCTGGGAGGCAGAGAGCAGGCCCGTTCCCACCACCTCCCCACAGAGGCCCTGGAGGGATCTGGCCAGCAGGCCAGCTGGGCTGGGCCTGCCCTGACCTGTGTCTGCTGAGCTGGGGTCCTGAGACCAGGCCAGGCACACCTGGCCTCAGCTCCTTTGTCCATGTCCCTCCCTGGCCCTGGGAGTCCTGCCGGCAGACAGGACTCCATTTCACAGACAGGGAAGCTGAGCCCCCAGGTGGTTTCTGAGGGACAGAGCAGCTGCTGCCAGGCCTCTGCTGGGGGGCCAAGGAAGCCCCCAGAAGGTGGAGACCCGCAGACCTCGCTTCCAGTCCTGGCTGCACCTCCTGGCTGGAGGACCGCTGAATTTCAGTTTCCACATCTTGTAAAGAGCTCTGGAAGATCATCTGAGTTGACACCGGCATGGCATGCGTGATCCCACTGGTGGGGCAATCTGAGGGGGCAAGCGCTGGGAGCCCAGCCTCCTCGCTGGCCCAGGGCCTGGTGGCCACTTGCCCACACTCATGCCCAGGCCTGAGGGCCGAAACACCCTGCTAGCAAGAAGGCTTAGCACAGGGGGGAGGGCAGGCCTGGGGGGGAGGGATTGTTGGCCTATCTGTATGCGACCCTCTGTCTCTCATGCCTCGCAGGGGCCTGGGATGCTGGGAACCAGCCAGGAGTCAGGGGCAGGTGTTAACTGTCCATTTGTGCTGTGCGGGTGGGGACTACAGGTCACATTCCTGGTGGGCAGGCCTGGCACTGCCTGCTCCCTGCTCTTGGAGCCGCCAACCCTGCCTGGGACCAGGCTCTTGGTCCCCATGCCAATCGGTGTCCCCCACCCACGTACACCAGTGCAGATAGGGAAACTGATTTAGCAGTGAGGGAAGTTTGGCCTCATAGGTCCCTGACATTTGGGGGTACTGTGACACCCCCCCCTCCAAAATATATCAAGTCCCAGCCCCTGGAAAGGGATCTGGCTTGGAGAAAAGGCCTCCAGAGACGTAACTAGTTAAGGACCTTGAGATGAGGCCATCCTGGAGGGAGGGTGGGTCCTAAGTGCAATGAATAGTGTCCTTGTGAGGAAAGGACACAAGGCTCAGAGAGGACCCTGCTGGAGACAGGATGGAGCGAGGCAGTTAGGCCAAGGAGCACCAGGAAGCCACCAGAAGCCAGAGAGCAGCCAGGGACAGATTCACCCTCAGCCCTCAGAGGGACTTGGCACTGCTCACACCCTCACTTGGACTCCTGTCCTCTAGGACACGGGGTGGGGGACCAATTCGTGTGTGTTTCTCCTTCCTCCTTTTCCTCCTTCTGTCTTTCCTTCCTTCGAAAAGGAATTGAATTGAATCGTACCCAGGGCCTCATGGTACTAGGAAAGCTCTTTACATTGAGCTGCATCCCCAGTCCTCCCCACCCGCCTGACGTTAAACTTTGATTCTGACGCAGGCTCTTGCTAAGTTGCTGAGGCTGGCATTGAACTTGGGATCCTCCTGCCTCAGCCTCCTGAGTCGCTGGGATCACAGGTGTGCGTCACCGCACCCAGCTCCATTTTTGTTATTAAAGGCACTTGGCTTGTGGCACTTTGTCACAGCAGCCCTGGGGCTGGGAGGGTCTAAAGAGGCTCATCTGTCAGAACCCGGGAGGATGGGAGGCCGGGCCTGCTTGGGCGTCTCATGGGCAAGCTCCCAACCTTCCACGACATGGGCTACTCCATAGACCTCTGAGTTTCGGATTTCAGCTCATTGACCCATGAGGGTCCAGGGGCAAGGGCTTGCAGTAGACCAGGTCTCCTGGGTCCAGGGGCTGAAGGGGACCCTGCTCCCCAAGGAGCAGAACAGATATGGGTCCAGCTGGAGCTCCTGCCGCTGTCCAGCCACGGGATCCCTCCCCTCCCCCATTCCCATGGACTGGTCTCCTCAAGTTCTAGCTTTCTAGGGAGAGACCCTCCATCTCAACCCTGCCCTGGCCCCGTCCACCGCAGGCCCAGGAGCCCCTATTCCCCTCAAACTGTGATCATCCGTGCCAACGTAGCTTTGGCTTCTGGGAGGTGTCCCCCAAATGCTCCCAAGAGCCACTGAGCTCATTGGACCCCGGGACTTTGCACCTCCGTTACCTCCTTGAGGTGCCCTCATGACACCCCTTTTATTGGATCCTGCTGATCCTGCGTAGAATTCCGTTTTCAGGAGAGTCCCAGCGGCAAGACTGGCTGTGCCTTGTCCCCCTTCTATCTCCACCATTGCACGTGGGTCCAGCATCTCCATCACATTCCAGTTTCAGGAAGGAGAGGGTTTGATGGTTGCCCAGGACAAGCCAGAGTGACCCTGAGGACTCCCCTGTGACCTACTAGCGAGCCACTGCCTCGGAAGGCCTCAGCATGGCTTGTCCCCAGGCCCTCCCTTGTGTCTGGAGGGGTCACCAGGCCGGGCTTCAAAGCAGACCCTGTCTGTCCAGGGCCCAGACTGCTGTTCCTTAGGGTAATGAGCCCTCAGGGAATATGTCCACTGGACGCTCAGGAGTCCCAGGGAAGCAGCCATTCAGCAGATGCTCGGGATCAGGAGAGGGCTGAGTCCTCCTCTCCCTGAAGTGCCACCCTTAGGCCTGGGGTGCAGCAGAGGCAATGAGGGCCAGGGCAGAGGTCACAGAAGGCTGCCTGGAGGAGGAGGGGTAGAGGGTCAGGGTGGACTCCAGAGCAGCTGACGCAGCCTCAGGGGCCTCGCCTCTCCAGGCAGCACATTCCCCATGGACAGACCTTCGGTCGAAGGTTGCTGTCACAGCCCTGGCTCCCCAGAGCCAGCCCGGCCTCCACCTCCCACCTTGTCCTGGCCACCTCTCCGGAGACCAAGGATGAGGCCAGCAGGACCCGCCTCCTCCTTCCGGAGTTTCCAGCTGTGCTGGGGCAGGAGCCATCTGGGGGCTGATGGGATGGGCTTAGGCGTTTGCACATGGGGAGACACGTGTCCCTGGACATGGCCAGCCCCCACGTGCAGACTGGCTGCATGCCATGTCCCCCCACCACCTGTGGACACACAAGTGCACTTGGGTGCCACCCTGTGCCACACCGTCTGGCTGAGAGACACTGTGGTTCCCAAGCCATCACAGTGCTTTTTCCTGCACACGGATTGTGTGCCACCAGCATGCCTCTTTGTACTGGGGGTCTTTGTTCTGTCACCGACACACCCAGTGTCGTGCAAGTGTCATTATTAGCAGAGCTCCCTCAGGCTCTCAAAAATGTCCCAGTTTAGATGATAAAATATGTGGCCGCCTCTGTTTGGGGCACCAAGAGGAAGACACCAGGCTTCTGCACAAGGGCCAAAGAGCAGGTCTTAGGCCCCAGAGGGGGTGAGGGGAGAAGGAGGGGCCCAGGCTGGGTGCTGGGAGGCATCTGACCACCTGGCCTCCAGTCCTATGCTCCCTTGACCCTTCAGGGGGGAAACGCAAAGCCTTGGGATTAGGATCTGAAGTTGTCTGTCCTTGTCTGTCCTCCAACACTGTCAGGGGCGGAGGCCAAGGCCAGCCTTACAATCTGAGCGCGGGCTGGGGAGGACACCACCAAGGAGAGCAGCCCCGGCTGCAGAAAGCCTTGAGTGATGGGGAGGGAGGGGACAGAGGGCAGTGTCAGGGCCACTGTGCGCCTGGATGGAGGTCATGCACTGACCAAGTATGGACACTGAAAATCCAGCCACGCTCTGCTCCTAGAGCTGCAAAGCAGCCATGCTTTCCCAACAGTGCTCCTGGGCAGAAGACAGGGCATCAGCCAGGCGGGGTGCCGTGCTCCCCAAGGCCCTGTGTCCACTGTGGCAGCAGGTGTTCACAGACATGAGCCCCCAGGTGCTCCTTCTCTGGAGGCTGCCCAAACAGCCCAGAGGATGCTGGGGCCCCAGCCCTGGACAGGGCCACACCAGCTGGCCAAGAGACACTGTGGTTCCCAAGCCATCACAATGGCCCCACAACAGGGGTCCCTGGGGATGGAACTTAATCTGCAGCATTGAAGACCTGAAAGCTGTGGCCCCTGCCACAGCCAGCAGACGCACCTGCCCGCCCCACCCAGGACACCCGATCCATCATGGACCTGCCTCAAAGGGGGACACTATCTCCAGCATTCCCTGCCCCAAGGCAGAGACAAGGAGGGAAACTGGGTCGCAGGGATAGAGTGACAGCAATGGTGGGTGGGGACCAGACAGGAAAGAGGGCGGCCATTGAGGACACACCAGACCTGAAGAGCTGCCCCGGGCCACAGAGCCCCAAGGGTGGCTTCAGGGACAGCTGGATTCTGGGTGCAAAGAACAGGCAGAAATCCTGTGACACACCCAGGACAGGGACCCTTCCTCTCTCCCTTTCCCAGAGAAATGCCACAGGCCCTGCTGTAGGCTGGTTTGGGGTCAGGCCTCACCCCTCTTGGAGCAGGCTAGCCAGCCACCTGCCCCTTGAACTGGGCCTGTCCAACTCTTGCTAAGGCTCCTGGCTGGGCAGAGCCAAGGGACAGCAGGGAGAAGCCCAAGGTCACCATCACCACCCAGCCTGCCTCTGAATCAGCGTCCTGTAGTCCCCGTTCAGGAGAGCTCCGGAGCCCCTGCCCTCTGACTGTGGGTGCCTAGAGAATGGGGAATGTGGTGAGCCCACGGAGGCACACTCCCCAGGGTGACATGCCACACGCTATGTGGCCTAGGCAGGCCGCCCTCCCGCCTCAGTTTTCCCATTTGTGAAATGAGACTTTGACCTTAGGCTCCTGGAGGCCCTTCTAGCTCCTCTAGCAAGGGCCATGGTTGACCTCCATGGTTGAACCCCAGACGAGAGCGAGGCTGGAGGGTATGGAGGGGTAAAGGGAGGAGGGGGAGGGGACTTCCTGGAGGAAATGGTGGCTGAGCAGAGGCCAAGCTGGGCCCACTGAGCCTTCCCGGCAGAAGCACAAGCACAGAGGGCGAGACCTGGGGAGTAATGGTCTGGCCAAGCCAAGGAAGGCCGAGAGGCTGGCAGGGGCTGGACTGGGCTGGCCTGCCAAGGGGGGCAGCCCTCATTTTCTGGTCAGGCCCACCTGCCCCAGCTGCAGGGAGGTGGGGGCCCTCGGGGCTCTGCTTGGCCTGACCTGCTGTCGCACCCAGAACCACCCCAGAGGTGGTGCAGGGAAGCCTGGCCAACCACGCCTGGTCCTCGGCTTCCTCGGGAGGGGTGGGCTGTGGCCTGGGCCAACTCTCCTCTCACCCCAGCCCTGTGGGACCTCCCCGCCAGCAAGCTGCTGCTCAGACAGCGCCACACCCAAGCGCTGGAGACCCCCCTGCCCACTGTGTGACCCAGGCCAGCCCACTTCCCTCTCTGACTGCAGCTTCCTCATCTGCAAGATGAGGCCAGGAGGCTCCCTGCTGGGCCGGTGACCCTCTACCCACCCCACCTTCCTGCCCCTCCTGTCCTCGGGCTTCAACACCCCCCACCCCCGCAGTTAGCAGAGGAGATGGGGTGCCCTACCTTGAGGCCAGCCTCAGGGCTATGGGAGGAGGGGGCACTGGAGGCTAGGCAAGAGGAGGCCGGGGTTGAACCTGGCAGGCTCAGTACAGTTGTCTCTGCAGCCTTCCTGTTTTGGAGATTAAACCCCGGCTGAGCAAACAGCTTTCAAGGAGGCTCCTCCCTCCACCCCAGGCCTGAGGCTGGGGCCACCTAGAGACTGTGGAATGACAGAGATGGGCCTGTGACCTCAAACCCCCCTCCACCCTGCCCTAGCACTGCCCAGAAGCCTGGCCCCAGCCCCAGTCCCTCCCTGCCCCTGCTGGCCATCACCCGGAAGCCCCCTGTGCAATCCTTCCGTTCTGGGCCGCCACACTGTCCTGATGGCCCTGCCCTCTGCAGCCTCTGCCTTCTACATCCTCTGGCCTTGGGTGACCTCCTGCAGGAAGGCAGAAGCAGCCCTCCTTGGGCCATACTGCGAGGTGCATGCCAGGCACGGTGGGAGAACCCTGCCATCTCTCCAGTGGCTCCTTTGGATTAGAGCGTTCTTTGCTGTGGGCCCTTCCTGGGTGTCCAGGTGTCCAGCAACATCCCTGTCCCCTCCCTAGTACATGCTAGCACAGTGGGCCCTCTCCAGTGGCAAGGATGACCAAAAATATCTCCAGGAATTCATTGTCAAATGTTTCCCAGGGGACCAGAATCACCTCTGGTTAGACCCCCGGGCGGCCCCAGCAGATCAAGGGTGTGAAGAGACCCTGCTACAGAGAGGGGCTCAGAGGCTATGGTGGCAGCAGTCACAGCTCTGCAGCACCGAGACCCTGTCCCAGGCTCACCTGCCCACTTCCTCTTTCTCCCCTCCCACAGAGTGGGGCCCCTGAGCTACCCAGGCCTCCCTCTGCAAATCCTCTCCAAACTAAGCTCCAATATTGGCAGAGCCTCCCAAGGAAGGAAGGAGGAAAACAAAGGCTGAGGGGGCCCTCAGTCTCCTCCCAGCGTCCTACCTCCCTGGAAGAACTGACTGACAGACAGGGAGGCTCCAGCCTGGCCCCAGCCGCTTCTCTTTCGGTAATGCACTTTGGGCCACTTCTCTTTTGCTCCCTAACCTTCCGTGGCTCCCTATTGCTTCCCATGGCATCCTGAGCCTGAACTTGAGGCTCCTGTTCACTGCTCCAGCCTCATCTCCCATGGTGGTTCTACCCACATCCCTGCCTAAGAATTCAGCCTCTCCAGACCCTGACAGTCCCACCCGATATCTCCCCATCCAGGTTCATCTACCCAAAGCTTAAGCCCCAGGGGAGGCATCAGTGTCTTTTTCAGAAGGCTTTCCAGAAGCTCCTCTCCCCCAGCTCTGGCGCATGGTGTATTCTCCTCACCACAGCCGGCCCAGCACCTTTGGGCCTGACCCATCTTCCCATCCCCACCACCCTCTGTCTGCCCTCAAAATATCTGGGTGCCTGTTGAATTCTTCCCACAAGACTGTGAGCTCCCCAGGACCAGAGGCTGTATCTGAGGCCCCATCTCAACTCCCCTGTGCCAAGCACAGCCTTCATGCAGACGCTTAGGCAAGGTGTGGGCGGGTGGGCAAAATGGGCAGGAGGATGGCTGGATGGTCAGACAGGTGGAAGGGTGAGTGGAGGTGGAACCGACACTCAGGTACTGAAGTGGCAGCTCACCTCTTTGCAACTGAGCACATCATTCCTGGATATAACCCCCACACCACCCCGACTTCCAGAGCAGCCTGGATTATCCCCTGATGCCATATCTGCCCACCCTTGAGGGAGTGAAGGAAGCAACACTCCCGTTTTGCAAAGGTAGAGTGTGAGGTCAGGGAGCACCCAGACTCTGACCCAGCCTGGAGCCTTCCCACCATTCCTGGGATCCTGTCCCCTTGACATGGCCTGGGGTTATGACTGGGGCAGGGGATCACGCCTGGAGCCTGCCAGGCCCCAGCACAGCCGGCCCACCTCCTGCTCACCCACACAAGCTTGCCATTCTTAGGGACACAAAGGCCATCTGGGGCAGGGTGGCTCTGGTGCCTCCCTGGTGGGTGTCTGGCCTCTGCAGGATGTCGGTTAAGTGGATCCTGGTGGTCCAGCTCTGCTACTGGGGGCTGCAAATCAGATTAGCTCCAGCCAGCCCCACAGCCCAGCTGGCCCTAGGGCAGAGTCCCCAGAAGAGGCTCAGCTGCCAGGCCTGGGCCTCTGCCCTCCTGGTGTGGACAAGTCCTGGCCCCACAGTAGAAACCATCCCCACCATGGGGTCCGGGCATGCTTCCTTTCCTTTTTGAACCCCTAGACCTGTCTAGGAGGCCAAGGGTTTGCATGAGACCCTTTGAGGCCATGTCACAGGGCAGACCCACAGCCTGCTGTCTCGAGCACTTGTCTTCACGAAGGCTTCCTGAGGCCCCAATCCTTCACCAGTCAGAGGTCAGCAGGCAGCTCTGTGCACCTCTACCCCGAGACCCACGTTCCTCACAGCTGAGTGTTTGGGGACAGAAGCAAGGGAATGTGGGGCTGGGGTGCAGGCTCAGCGGCACAGCGCTTGTGTAGCGTGTGTGAGGCACTGGGTTTGATCTTCAGCCCCGCATAAAGATGACTAAAAATAAAATAGAGGTATTGTGACCATCTACAACTAAAAAGGAAGCTGCCGCAGCAGCAAGGGGATGCTCTGTCCAGCCCAGAGCAGGTCTCTGTATCCCCCGCCAGGTCCACCCTTCCTTCCCGCGGGTTTATAAAGCTGGCAGCGTTCAGACACTGAACACAGCTGTGAGCAACATGGTTTCTGCTCTCACATAGCTGACATCTGGCCCCTTCCCGGCCATCCACATGCTTCTGTCTGGCTGTCTGTCCATCTACCCATCCAGCTATCCCATTCACCCTGCCCTCTCTCATCCATTCATCCATCTGTGTCCATTCATCCCTCCACCCATCCATCCATCTGTTCACCCACCTGTGTCCGTTCAAACCTTCCAATCATCCATCCACCCATCTGTCCATCCATCCATCTACCCATCTACCCCCCGACTCATCTGTTCAGCTAGTATTTACTGAGCATCTACATTGTACACGGCCCTCACAAGGAGTAAGACATGCCCCTGTCCTCAGGAGGCAGATGGATAAAAAGACAGTTTACAGCTTCATGTGGTCAGTACCAGGATGATGAGGTTGGGGAGGTTCTGGGTGAGGCAGTGCTTAGCTGGGCTGGCAGGGTGCCAGGACAGGTGTGCTCCAAAGCCTTGCCCAGTCACCCAGCCCAAGTTGTTCATGCAAGGGTCAGGGTTCAAGCCCAAGTGTCAGGCCACCAGTGGAAAGGTGGTCACTTTCTGCCTGCAGAGCCTGTTTGGGTGGGCAGGGCAGGAAGGTGCCAGCCATGTCCCTACTACAGAGAGGAGTAAAATCCTGAGGTGCACAGTGAGATGGGAACTGTCCCAAGACCATACAACGTGTGGGCAGTGGTGAAGGGTGCTGGGCAGAGTGGGCAGGCAGGGCTGGGATGAGGTGGGTGCTACACTCACAGCTAGCGGCTGCCACTCTCCCCCTGGGATAGGGCCATGCCCCACCCCACCCAAAGCTGTGGGACTCAGTTGTGCCCTGGGTACCCCCCACCCTGTCCAGGGAGCTAGCCCTCAACCCCGCCCTGCCAGCAGCAACTGCTCACTCAGAAGCTGGGCTAGGTGTCCCTGAGCCACCTCCATCATGCCATTGTTCCTTGGGGAGCCCACAGGCACCAGACATTCTCTCCAGCAGCCGGGACAGGCTGGACACGAGCCTAGGTGTCCAGCCTTGCCTTCCTGCCATAGCCTTGCTGTAAGGTTGAGGGATGCTGCCCGCCTTCCCTCTCTGGGCTCTGCCGGTTCCTGGGCCACAGAGCAGGGCCACCTGACACAGGGCAATGAGGGGTCGTCTCAGATGACTTCCTACTGAGTTAATGGGTGACCCATTACATCTCCACACATCTTCCCAGGACCCCATGGGAAGGCTGGCCAGCAGCAGCCCAAGATACCACCTGGGAAGGCAGGCAAATGGCAGGCTGGATGCCATCCCCTGGTGGGGCAAGGACAGGACCAGGCCATGTCTCCCAGGACTTGGCGGGACTGATTCCAACAGGAGACCCTCATATGCTGCTGAGCCTGTGGAGGTGGGGCCTGAACTCAATAAGGATACAACAGCGCCCTTGAGCCTAACGTGGGGACTGGGGGCCCTTGAGATAGCCAGCGGCCTCGCATGGCCTTCTTGGTTGTGTGAGTCTGTTGACTTTCCACCCACCCTCAACAGACAGGTGTCCTAGTCATTAAGGCATCCAGCTGTCCAGAAGCCACAGCTGGGGGGTCAGAGGGGCTGTCCCAGGAAGCACAGAAACCCATGTGCCTAGGAGGGCCGGGCTGCCACTCTCCAGGAGCAACTAGGAGCACCTTAAAAAACAGATGATATCGCTGGGCACAGTGGTGCACGCCTGTGATCCCAGCAGCTTGGGAGGCTGAGGCAGGAGGATTGCAAGTCCAAAGCCAGCCTCAGCAAAAAGCAAGGGGCCAAGCAACTCAGTGAGACCCTGTCTCTAAATAAAATACAAAAAAGGGCTGGGGATGTGGCTCAGTGGTCGAATGCCCCTGAGTTCAATCCCCGGTACCGAAAAGAAAAAAAAAAGATGATATATTCCTTGCATTATGGGTGGGGAAACTGAGGCTCAGAAGAGCAAGGTTACAGGTCCAAGGTCTTGAGGCTAAGAGGTGGCCCCTGGGATGGGAAGGTAAGCAGTCTGGCTAAGTCCATATGTCCTGCCTGAGCTGGGCCCTGAGGTGGCCTCTTCCCCCAGCCCCTTTCCCTAGGATCCTGAGGCCCCCAAGGGGCTTTCTGGGAGACCTCTTCCCTCTCCAGCTCCCTCCTCAGCTCCCTGGGCTGAGCACATGGCATCCCTTACCCCCTTCCCTGCAGGGGCAGTTTGCTCAGAGGGTCCTTGGAGGGAGCCTTGGAGTCTGGGGAAGGGGAGTGCCTCCGGCTGGAGCTGGTCCTGGGGAAGGGGCAGGGGTGGCTTGCTGGTCACCCCTTCCAGATTTCAGACCTCAAGGAGTCACCACGAAATTCCATTCTTCTGACAGCAAAGAAATTGAATCACTCTTGCCAAAGCCTGCAGCCCCCACAAGAATGCCATCAGGCTTTGTCCTGCTGTT